GAACTTGAGAGATGCCAATGCAGTCTTACCCCAATTTTTTAAAAATTCATGACCTTTGGGTGATCCCTATATATTATTTTAAAAATTTGCAAAAGTTCTGTTATTGTTATAAGATCATAACAAAACTTTTAGGAGGGACTGCATCAACATTTGTTTATTGTTGGTTAATTTATAAAATATTGACAAATAGCGTAGAGGCAAGCAAAAATTTTTTGCAAATGGCTGTCTACTTAAGTGATTAAATTTATTTGTAGAACACTTTTACACTAAATAAACTTAAAAAAAATAATTAATAAAATAGATATAGCCAAATAGTTATTAATAATAAAAATAAACAATAAAAATAAAAGTAAAAATAAATTAAAATCATAGTTGTTACTAAAAAATAAATAATAATTGTTAGTTTTATTTTTATTTTTAATAAAACGTAAAAGAATTTTTTATTATCATTTTCGATTTGATTCTATATCTTGATAAGAATAATTGCAACTTGATCCTCAAGTATCATTTTTATGCTTCTGAATCTTTCAAAATGAAAGCTTTTTTTTATATAGCTTTGATATCAAGTTCTTAGAAGATGCAAACTGAGTCAAAATTTATAGCAATCAAAAATACTTTGGATTATTTTTATGGCACATTAAAACTTAGTTTTTTGATTATCACAGTATTATTAAAAAAAAAAAAAATAATTAGACCGCATTTTGAATTCTAATAAAATATAATTATTATAATATTATTCTAATATGTGAATTCAATCATGGATGAATTCATAGAAAGAATTGTTTGATTATTATTAGTTAATTTATAAAATCACTAGCAAATGATGATATTAAAAAGATACTATATATTACCATTTCCTTTATAGTCTACAATAAATTTGTATGGTTTCTTAAAGATTTTGCCTAAAGATTACATACTGAATAATATATCAGGTTGAAATTTGGGCTGGATGAAATTTACCTAACGTATTGAAAGAAATTTGGGCACAGTAATTTTTAATAATGTGACTATTTTAAGCTGGAGCTCCATTGTGTTAAAATGTCTAATTAGATATGTCTGCCAGTGTAGAAATGTCCAATGAGATTTGTCTGCCAGTGTTTAAATGTTCATGAGATCCCTGACTTTAAATGCATTTCTTAAACTCTTGCATTTTTTTTTTTTTAAAGGTTTCATTTTTAGATCATTTTGTCTAATTCTGCTCTTAATATTTGTAAATTAAAATACTTTTAAAGATCTTCAAATCTTTTCAAATTTCTTCTTTTTTTTTTTTTTTTGAATTATTTTGTTTTGTCAAATGTCTTTTTTTGTGGTATTCCCTAACAGTTCTGGGTGAACATAATGATACACTTCTTTGATGAAGGTCGATGAATGGTTGATGATGTGGATCAATGATTAGTTGATGAAAATGAATAATTGATTGACGATGAAAATGAATAATTGATTGACAATGAAAGTTAATAATTTATTGACAATGAAAATTAATAATTGATTGAGGATGAAAGTTAGTAATTGATTGACAATGAAAACTAATAATTGGTTGACCATGAAAATTAATAATTGGTTGACGATGAAAATTAATAATTGGTTGACGATGAAAATTAATAATTGATTGACGATGAAGACTAATAATTGGTTGACGATGAAAATTAATAATATAGTTTTCATTATAATATCTAAACAATAGTAATTTGGAAATCAAAAACATTTTTAATTTTATAATTATTTTTTTAGTATTTATATGAACACTAGATATTAGTAGGAAAGCGTAGTACAAAATATTTTTATTGTTTGTAGGGTGGCATTTTATGTGATTATGACAGGGCATTTTTGAGTATTTAACATAGACATTACATCTAATTAGAGAGACACTAAATCATTTTATATAAACTAGGGTTTGCAAAAACCCAGAGTATTTCTATTCCCGGGATTCCGGGTTGTATAATTAATTCTCTGAATTTTCTGGGAAATTCCAGCATTATTTTATGCTTTAAAACTAAAAGAAAAGTCATAATTTAATTAACTATATTGCACTAAAATAAATAAAACTTGTACATAAACTTATTTATTTTGTCTTTAGAAAATATGCTTACAGAAAACTCAAACTATCTAAACTATTATCACTTAAGCAACTTCTTATTTTGTTTCAAAATAGTACTGCGGAGGAAAATGCTCTTTCTGATTCTACGCTCGTTGGTTTAATTGTCATTAAAAAATCCTAAACTTTCTGAAGACTATCCCCCCAAGTACAACCACTTTCAAACAATGACAATTCTTTCGATAATTTAGAAGTAAGAGTTTCGCTTAATCTTGACAAAAAATTTCTGGTTAAAAAACCTATTTCTAGGGCTTCATATTTTATCATCTTCTTGACTTACTAAATATTCAATGTTGTCCCAAGGAATTTGTAGGGTAATTTAGATTTGTTACATTTAATCTACTTAGAAGCTTCAACATTATTTTTTTATTTTTAAAATTTGAAGATGTTTTAAAAACTTCATCTATGGTCATTAATTTGTTTTCTCCGTAATGTAGATAGTGCAGTAGATTACTTAATTCAGTCTTTCACTCTTTGATTCTGGAGGCTAATGTATTAAAAAGTTGACTACTTGTTGTAGTATTTATAGTTTATTGTAGTATTTATATTTATAGTTTTTTTAATTTAGTTGCGTTGACTTCAACGCAATGTCAGCAGTTATAAGGTTTGCATCACGTTGACAAAGCGCTTTCACTGCTACTTTTACTGCTATTAGCACGTTTACTAGTTCAGAAATAATTTCATACTCATTATCTGACATTTTTAAAGAATCATTAATACTGATATCAACAAGCACCTTTTTTATGCAACTTTTTAACTTATGAAACCTTTCAAGCATTGATAGTAAGCTGCTCCATCTTGTTTTACAATCTTTGATTAAATGAAGGTTTTTTCCAAAGTCATTTTTTACTGAAATTCTGAAATTCTGAAAATTGTCTCTATTGTGTGAATTGATATTTAAACAACGTGTGTTTTGAATCGACGTCCACTCATCAAAAGAAATTGAAAACTTAGTTCCACTCTAAATTTTTTGTCTTAATTTATTTCTTATACTATTCTTTATATTGTTAGAGAAATAAATTACCATTTTTTTAACAGTGTTTGGAGATTTAGGTATGTTGACAAATCGCCTCATAGCCAGTCCAGCACGTATATCAATAGAAGTGCATACTACGTTAAAAGAAATTTAACCTTTAGCTGTTAATCTTGCAAGCTCCTTAGACAAGCTTTGTTCTTTATTCATATTCGATGAAAAGTATGAACTAATTTTACTTTTTTTACTCAGTGGTTCTTCTTCCGATGTCGGATAACGTGCCAGTTCTGCTTTAAATTTACTTTATGTAACTGAAGAAGATGAGAATGCAGAGCTTTTGTTGATCACCTCATAATTTTCAATACTTTTTTGTAATGGCTTAGTTTACACATTGCTGTTTCAATTTCTTTGTTGCGCAGAAAATGTTTCTATATAGGGGTTTTGCTGTTGAACTCTATGAAATTTGATATAGTATCCTAATTTGAGAAATCAAAGAAAATATAGTAATTTATTAACAAATTTTAACTTTCTTATTAAGGTGAAATTTTAAAGTTCAATAAATTTATATACACTCTATTATTACAAAAACACAATATAAATCAATACAAATAAATTTTTATTTTTTTCTCAATATTGTTATTATTATTTTAATTATTTATATTATTATAATAATTTAGTTTTAATAATTAAAATTAGTTTCTTACTATTTCCTCGTAAACACCCCAGTAGTGATAATATATAAGATTGATTAAACTTACTTTAAACTTATAAATCAATAATGAAAACATTGCATTGCATTGGCGCTAAATATTATAGCTTTGTTGTTACTTTTGTTTTTTTTGACTCAATTTAAATGCAGCTATCAATTGTAGTTTTATTAATTCTAAATTCCAGGATATTTTTGAAATAACCCCAGGAATTCCCTGTTAAAGAATTAGGCAGGATTTTGGGATCCGGGATTACAAACCCTAATATTAACTAAGACAAGTTTATTCTTTTAAATAAATATAAGAAAAAAAAAATCTTTCTGTTGAAGTCCAAAAAAAATCTTTCATGTTGTTTTCATTTAAAATTTAAAAGCAAAAATAGTTTAGTAAACTCCTTCTCTAAAAGTATTTCAAGCAGGTACAAGTGGCGTTTGGGCTGTACTATAAACAGTTCAATTTTTTGACTAATTTACCAAGTTTTTTTTGAAAGTAGGTTATAGACCTTTGTTATAGTTTGAAGCTTGCTCTTCAATTTAAAGTTTTTGATTAATTCTAGTTAAGAAGCTAAACTTAAAGAAGTTTAGATATGTAAAGGATAATGCAGTACCTACATTATTGCTCATTATAGCAAGGTTGACCTTTTTTTTTTTTTTTACTACATCTTGTTGCCATTAAAGAGGGTTGCTTGTTTCTTGAACCAAAATTTTTTCTATATTTTTTTTCCAATTAAACATTCTTTCACAGTGATTGCTTTTACTTGCTCAAAAAAATTTAAGTTTCAAAGCGTTTTGATCATATAATATTTACCCAAAATATAGATGTTTATTTTTCAACACAAAATTATTTAATTTCAATTTTGGCTTTTTTGGAGTCTCACTTTTACTTCCCAATTTACTCCTCTGAAAGTTGTTTTTTCTATTTATGGTCATTATTTCCATCAGTAAAATACAACAAAATAAATAATCTATATATATATATATATATATATATATATATATATATATATATATATATATATATATATATATATATATATATATATATATTAATATTTTATACCAATATAAATATTGTATGTTAATATAAATATTGTATAATAATATAAATAAATTGGATATTAATATAAGTTTTACATATGAAATAAATAATTAGATCTTTTTCGATTTTTGTTTTACAAATAATTTATGTTGCTTTGTATATGAAATATATTTATTTAACTTTTAAGCGTTTAAAACAAGAACGTGATATGTTAAAAGAGACAAATGAGGAGCTTTCTCTGAATCAAAACAGTGCAAGTATAAATTTTTTTTTTTAATTAATTTATTGCTGTTACAATATTTAAACAAGTTATATTTATTAAGTTAAATATTCTATTTTTTTATTTATCATATCTTTTAAGTTTTTAGTGCTCTTTAGATACAAAATGTAGAGATAGATATGTCTTTATATTGTTTTTGCCTGTTCATAACAGGGTTGGATTTGTCCACCAGGATGCCGGGGGAAGCCCCGGTGGGCCGCTGATGTCTTACTTACAATGGGCCACTAATATAAATCGCAGTTGCTGCTACTTAGGTACAATAAAAATATATGGAAGAAAAATTATTTGTAAATTAAGATAGTGAGTATCATAAAAATATAAATTACATATTTACAAATTAAAATAACTATTGTTAATTAAGGTACCTGAGAGTTAAATAACACATTATTTATATATTATGTGATTTTTTTTAAAGATTTTATAGAGGGTCGCTAGGAATATTATCCCCCGGGCCGCCACAAAGAGCTAGTCCAATCCTAGTTCCTAAGGGTGTAGGTCTTTTACCTGCTCTTAAAGTGTCTAGCTTTTTATCCAGTGATTATTTTGAATAGTTGATCTTTTACAGAACCTTGACTAACCCATCTTTTACAAAAGTTTATTTACAATAATTTTTTCAAAAAAATATGAAAAATATTATGATAAATATGAATATTTCTCACTTAATAAATTATTTAAATACTTGGTTTCTAAAATTTGTGATTAACATTTATTTTGGTTGGTATGTGTTGCAATTAGAGCTGATATATTTGGTATGCTTTGGTATTTATTTCTCTTTTGTTTATATTCACTATCTTCATAAATCATTTTACTCTTCTTCTATATAGTAAGTGACCGGGTAAATTCTGACATATATTTATGCTAGTATTTAACTAATTCAATAAATAGGGACGGATACAGTAAAAAGATGCAACTTATTGAATAAAAAGACAAGCAAGAATGAGTTTATTGTAATAGAGATAGCTTGTTTGAACATTGACCATGGTTAGAGAAACAGCATAAAAGAGGAAGGCCAAAGCCTGATGATGTCATTATCATTAGCAGATGATGATGATGATGATGATGATGATGATGATGATGATGATGATGATGATGATGATGATGATGATGATGATGATGGTGATGATGATGATGACAATAATAATGATTATGATAATGATGAAGATGGTAATAATAATGATGATGATCACAATTATGATGATGATCATGATGATGGTGATCATGATGATGATCATGTGGATCATAATGATGTTTATAAACACATATATACAAAATCAAGCATAAATTTTGAACAAAAAAAAAAAGTGCTTTTGGATCTATAAATGTTTATGCAGCGCTGGTCACAAACCCGGCCCCGACCTTAGCTGTATTTTTATCAAACCTGGCCCTGGCCCCGGTCAAATATCAACCCCGGTTTACTACTTCTATAGAATTCTTTGTATTTCTTTCAAATTTTTTTTTGAGTTTTGTTTTAGAGCTATTTAGGTAGGTCAGTTGGAAATTATTGAGACAATATATTATAAGACTTGTTGAGAGCAAAGTAATAATGTGCCTGACTGGATAGTTTAACATGTGTAGGACAGTAGAACAAGTGCCTGACTGTTTTTTAACATGGGACAGAGTTGATAAAATAGTTCAAAAGTTTTATTCAACTTAAAAAGTTGATGAATCCTTCCTATTCAGGTTATTATGTTGCAAATTAAAAAAGAAGTTTACTGGAGAGGGTCATTTTCTCCCCTTAAAATTACAGGGTAAAGTAAGGCACCAAATTAATATGTGCACATTATTAAACATTTAATGCATGTTTGCTTAGAAAATATTAAGTTGAATTAATATTAATGTAAATAATTAAAATTTTAGTTGAAATTATTTATATACTTTGTATATGGTATTTATATACTATAATAATACTTATTAAAAATGTAGTATGTAATTATATATATATATATATATATATATATATATATATATATATATATATATATATATATATAATTTATGTACTATACCTATTGTATACTATAGTTATATTTAAAATTTTTCATTGATTGTTTTTTTAATTATTTTAGTATTAAATATTGTATTTATAATATATTGTAATAAATTTCAGATATTTCATTTGGTGTGCGTAGTCCTCAGCAGCATACTTTTGATGATATAGCCATACAAGATTCACCATTTGAAATGAAGTAAAAAAATTTTTACTTTCGTGCTGATGATGATGATGATGATAATGATGATGATGATGATGATGATGATGATGATGATGATGATGATGATGATGATGGTGATGGTGATGGTTATGGTGATGGTGATGATGATGATGATGATGATGATGATGATGATGATGATGATGATGATGATGATAATGATGATGATGGCGATAATTATGACAATAATTATGACAATGATGATTTTTTATTTTAGAGAAAAGCTCATAAGACTGGAACATCAAAATAAATTGCTGACATTGCAGATGCAGGAAGCTGAGAATACTAAAATACAAGTACTGCAGGCCAACTTGGATTTATCTTCAGAAAGAGTAAACTTATTGGAGACTGAAAATAGGTTGGTTTTCAATTTATTATGTCTTTTTTATTTTCAGATTTATTAATACTTTTAAAATTTGATTTGTTATATAATTTTTAACTAATTCTGTTTCATTTTGAAATTATTTTTTTAAGAAAAAAATGTATATTGTTTTAATTAGATTAATTTTTTAATATTTGAAATTTTTTAGTATTTTTGAGTAGTAGGTAAACTTATAGGGCTTATTTTAATTGAACAGGAAAGAAATTAGTTAAATTATCAGTTTTCAAAACTGATAATTTAACTAATTGAACATTGTTTTCAAAACTGATAATTTAATCAATTTGATCATATTGATGTATTGAGTTACCTTCATTATTATCCATTCCTAACAATTTTACATTTTTTATAAAAAAATAATATATCATTGCTATAAATTTAATATTAAACATTATTATTCTTTAGATGAATTAAAGGTTTTTATCTTTATAATTATCTTTATTCTTTGATTTAATTTGAATCTTAATATTTTTTGTTTTAAATTTTAAAAAAAGTTTTTAATTTTGACATGTATTTAAATTAAAGCCTTAAATATTATGAAGTTAAAAGATTTGAATTTAAACACAATATATTTACTGTTTTGGTTCTGCTTTTGTTCATCATAGGTTCTGCTTTTAAATGTATTTGTATATTCATCAAATCTTATTCTATGTTGCTTCCATTATTTTTTTATAATGGTTTTGTTTCTGCATGCATTTTTAATGGAGATAAATATATTTTATCAAAGCAACATATTGTTAAATGGTGTTTTCTCACTCAACTTTTAGTTTGTATAAATATAATAGTATATATTATGTTGGCAACTGAATTATTTTTTCAATTTAATCAGAAAGAATATAATTTTTTTAAGACAGCTTAGCCAAGAAATTTTAGAACTGAAGAGTCGGCTTGAAGACCTTGAGCTTGGGAAAACTAACACCACAATTGATGAAGAAGACCAAAAGAAGCTCCAACTTCATTTGTATTATTTTTTAAGTATTATTTTTCTTTTATTATTTTTTGTTTGTTTTAAGTTATTTAAAGTTATCTTCATTATGAGTTATTATTATTAAGTTATTCTTAAATGTTTTTATATGTTTAGTACTTTTATACTGTAATAATTCATTGCAGTATAAAAATTATCATGTTTTGTTTTGGTATTAAAGAAATATTTGGACTTGTTTGTACCAAATCCTTAATAACTTGTTTGTACCTCAACAAAATAAATAGAGTAGTATAAAATAAATAAATAACAATATATAATTATTATAGTTTTTTTTAATAGGGATGCTCTTAAAGAATCTAATCTTGAACTTCAAAGAAAAAAAAAACACATCAATGAACTGGAAACTCAATGTTCAATTAATTGTAGGTTATTAATTTTCTAGGTTAATAAAAGTTAATTGTTAATTTAATTGGCTGTTAATTTTATTGATTGTTAATTTAATTGGCTGTTAATTTGATTGATTGTTAATTTAATTGGTTGTGACTTAAACTAAATTGGTTATTAAACTAAGTTGGTTGCTATTAAACAAAGGAGTTTGTTAATTTGGTTGTTATTAAACAAAGGTGTTTGTTAAGTTGGTTGCTAAAAAAAGATGTTTGTTGAGCTAAGTTGGTTGATAAAACAAGATGATTATTATACAAAGTAAAATAACCATCAACAATATTACTATTACCTAGGCAACCATGACATTAAATAAGATAAAATAAAATAAATAAGTATCAAATAAAAAAATAAAAACTACTAAGTTAATTATTAAAAAAAAAAATGTAATTAGAGGGAAAAAAAGCATTACTTAATCTATATTCAAATTCCAAAACCTTTGCAAAAATACCACTTAACCTTACCACTAATAACTAATTAGTGGTAACCATTGCAATATTACCCAAATAATTAGTATGACAGATCTATATTCAACTAAATGACAGATCTATATTCAAAAACTCATCATCCCAATTAAAAATCTACATTAGCCAATTTTGATAAATGGTTTCAAGACGAAAAGCAGCTAGAAGAGAACTTTCCTCAAAAATGAGAAAAAAGAACTCAAGAATCAATTAAAAAATAGTATAATAGAAAAATTTACCTCACTCACCAAACTCACCTAGATGTTAGCTGTAAAAAAAAATTGAAAAAACCCTCAATAGTTAACAATTATCAACGCAGTATTTATGAGTTGTATGACAAAGCCTTTATAAATCTAGACAGAAGCAGAATATTAGACTTTAGGCTTAGAACAGAATGCAATAGATTAAATACTGCTTTGACTCCAGACTCACCCTTTTGATACCACATTTGTAGAAGCTAAATCATCAAATTTAAAATCCAACCAACAGCATAAGAACTTGGGTTGCCAGTATACTAACGCAACATTACTTGTAAATAAATTTGAAGAATTTACATTACTAATTGATATATATAAACCTCATATCATAAGAATCACTAATGATGTGAGGTTTAAATATATTAATTAGTAATGTAATGAAATATGGTTTAAAGAAGACTCATTTTCTGATCTAAATTACTTTTTATTACATAAACAAGGAGTGTTAGACCACCCATTTGTAAATACAGTTGAGGTTTGTTTTCTATCTAACTGTGATAAAGGCCATCTATTAGTAACTTGGATGTTAGTTCTTTCAAAAGCTCATAGTAGATGGAGTTCCAAAACAATGCGGAAACTTGCTTTTAATCATGGAAATTACAAAGATATGAAATATTTCTTTTAAAAGGTGAACTGGACTTGATCATGATCTTGACATATTTTTATATTACTATAATATTGAAATTAAAAATTTTATTCATATTATGTTAAATGATTATAAAGCGCTAAAAAAATCGCTCAAACAAAAAGGCAAAGAACGCAAAAAATGAATTTGAGAAAAGATTAGCTTTCAGAGCAAAACAATTCCTAAAGCTACTATATCATTAACAAAATAAAAAATACAAATAACTGTATCCAATCACATTAGATAAAAAAAAGTTTTATTTTTGAAGATTTATTTAGTATTCATAATAGCTTAAATGCTCAATTTAAATTAATATTTGTCAAAGAGGATGTAAATTTAATACCTGAATTTGATGATAAAAATATTTTCAATAAACTAATGGATGAAGGTAAAATATTATTTAAATATAATGAAATATTAGAATGTTTGGACAATGTAGTTATTAATAAATTTTTTGACAATGACAATAGATTTATTTATAACTATATTTACCCTAGAGTTCTTAAATAATAGTTGACGACACTAGTAGATCCAATTTTACTAATCTTTGAATCCATGAGTCTCCAGCAAAGTATCAAGTCATCAGAAAAAAGCAAGTTCACTCTTATCTTTAAAAAAAGTAATAAACTTATCCCAAAAAAAGTATTTTGCTGACGTCAATTATCTGTAGGCTATTTGAATCAATATGCAAAAAAATTTTGGACCACTTAATAACGAATAATCTGATTAATATGTAACAACATGAATTTTTGAATATAAAAATACAACAAATTTGATAGAGACTATTGAATATCATTACCTGATATCCTTTATCTCAACTTTGCTAAAGCATTTGACACTGGTGCTCACAAAAGACTTTTGCTAAAGTTAAAAGATTTTGGTACCAGTAATTTTCTTGTTGCATGGATTAAATCGTTTTTAGAAAATAGGATGCAAACAGTAGTAATTACTTAAATTGGTTCCAATCAGAAAGATGTTTTTATTGGTATTCTACAAGGCTCTGTATTAAGTCTACTTCTTTTTGTCATCTATATCAATGACTTACCAAAAAACTTAACATCTAAATTATTTGCTGATGAAATCATCAATTAAATTTATAACAACAACATTATACCAGCTCTTTGAGATGACCTTTGACCTTTGAGAAGGCATTTGAGTTGTCAAAAAAATGGCTTATCAAATTAAACTGTAAAAAGCGTCATGTTAGGTATATTGGGAAAAACAATCCAAAGCACGATTACTTCATACCCAATTCTAATAATGACAATATAATAGCTTAAGAAAAATCTATATGTGAAAAAGATCTAGGTATTAATTTCTTAGCCCATCTCAAGTGGAAACAACATGTAATTAGCTCTGAGTCTATATAGTAATATAGGTAAACAGATGTTCAAAGTTACTACACTTTACTACACTTGTCTGTCCACATCTTAAATATGGTATCGCTGTATGGTCTTCTTACCTTAGAGGAGATACATCTGTATTGGAACGTGCACAGAGATGAGCAACTAACATAATTCCTTCTCGTAAAAATATGACATATAAAGAAAGACTTGTGGTTTTAAATTAAAAAAAAAAATTAATTATTAAAAATTAAGCTATTTTTTTTCTTCTTTATGTTTATAGTAGGGTTTTATTAAACTTTTTTCAAGCCATCCGCAGCTTATTAGGACCCTCGCCCGTTAATTAATTTTGAAGAAAATAAAAGTTTATATGTAAAATCTTTTTTTCCTAGAAGAAGGAAAGTTGTCTCTTTAATGTTGGCTAAATTTGCAGACTTTAGCACACAACTAATTATCTAAGCGCATTAATAACATAAGTATCTCAATCATGACATATGCGCAACAAATTTTTAATGGCTTAACTGTTAAATCTTTGTTTAAAAAATATACTTGATTATCTTATATTTACTGAGTTTTTTACTGATATCTATTTAGTTTATATACAATTAAATTAATTTTATTCTGTTTTTTAGCTGCAGAAATTACAGAACTAAGAAATCAACTAATAAAGAAAGAAGAGGAAATGGGAGAAAAAGAAGAAAAGTATAAAAAATATTTAGAGAAAGCAAAAACAGTAAATTTCTAATAATTATTCTGACTATTGTTTTCTAAAATTCTAAAATTTAAAACAGTTTTTTTAAAGTTTATGTAAGACTCATGGAGTCCGATTATTTTTTTTGATTAAAGCTTTTTTTTATCAAAATAGCTTTTTCATCTTTCTATTTTTGAGGTTATAAAGACATTAGATCCAAAAGTTGCAAATGTTGATTCTCAGGTTTTTTTTCATTATTGTTTATATATTAATTTATATTTACAGAATATTTACTGAATTTATTTGTTATTTTGATCTATTTGTCTAGGTCTGTTTATAGTTTTAATATTTCAGGTCAACTTGACTTGTATAATTTGTCTAGGTTTTCTGATCTATTTTTCTAAGTGCTTTTTATTATGGTTTTAACATTTTTAGGTTCACGATGACTTGCGCAATCGATTGTTTGAAAAAGATAAAATTATTGAAAATATGGAAGTGAGTATAAAACTTTTTTTAAAGGGTTCTTAAAAGTTAATTATTTATGTATAAAACCTAAGATGTTTTGTATTTGTGTGCTTAGTCCCTTCGTACTTTAATGCTTACTCAATCCTGAACAAGAGTTAAATGTGCAAATAAATTATTTTGAGACTTTCATTAAGCTAAATAAAATAAATAAACATAATAGACGTAGGATGTAGACGTAGACGTAGGATGTTTCCACTAAAATGATTAATGATCTTACTGAGATCTTCATTACCAATGAGATAAATACTTAATTAGATCTTTATGACATTTTATTAGGCTTAAAATAGACTTTCTTTTAGAACTAATGATGTCATATTTCTAACTATTTTTTAACCAATGTTCATTATAAAGTGTTTTTCTTTAAATTGTCAGCAAATTTCTTTTACGAATTTTTTTTACAAAAATTTATTTGAAAATGTTTTATAAAAAAAAAATTATTTGAGTTCTTAATAATATCTGCTAAGCAAGAATAAAAAAATTACCTTATTGAAATGTTTTTTTTTCTTTCTTTATTACTTGTTTAAAGTATTAGTTATATTTTTTTTTATGGCTTAAACATGTTTTTAAAAGCATTTAACACAAAACTACTAAGTTTAACATTTGTTTTTGTTTTTTTGTGTGTGTGCAGCGAGATCATGAGAAAATGAAAGCTACAAAAGAACGCGAGGAAAAATTAATGATTACAGCATGGTATGAATTGGTAAGTTTGGTGTTTTTTAAAAGTTTTTTTATAATACACTTAAAAATCTCAAGCATTTTTTTTTAAAAAATGCTTGAGATTTTTAAAAAACAAAGCTTTTTTTTAAAAAAAATTTATAAGATAATTATGACAATTTATAACATTAACAGGTGTTGTAGAATCTCTTATTTATTTAAACTTGTAACTTTTTGAAAGTTACAAATCTCAACTTGTAACTTTCAAAAAGTTACAAGTTTAACTAAATAAAAAATGAAAAGTTATAGAAAAATGTTATTATTATTATTATTATTATTATTATTATTATTATTATTATTATTGCTATTATTATTATTATTATTATTATTATTATTATTACTATTATTATTATTATTATTATTATTATTAAGTTCAGACTTTTTGTCAAAGATGAAAGTTTTTTTTTTTTTTTGCAACAAAATAAATGTATTTTTTAGACTAAATTTTATTTTGACAAGTTACAAGTTTAAATACATAAAAATGAAAAATGTTTAACACTTGTGCTTCAGCTACACAAAGTTATACTATAATAATTTTTTAGTGTTTTTTTTTTAGATCTAGTTTATATAAAAAGAAAAGCTTTATTTTTATTTACATTAATTTAGTTAATCAGTTTAATACTTAATTTTGACAAGTAGTTTGTAGTTTTGTTATTATTATTTATTATTTTATAGCCTTAATTCTATATTTCATTTATTTATCTAGTTGCAAATAGAAACCTGTGTCATAAAATAAACACTTTCAATAATAATCAATAATAATCGTCAATAATAAAATGAACACCTGATAAACAAATCTTATCAACATCTGATACTAGTTTAACTGTTATTGTTATAATTTTTTTTTATATTTTTCTTTGGCATCCAAATTTTAAAATATTTATTCTGATTGCTAAAAAGTTTACCTCTAGAGATGCCTTCATAAAATTTCAAATGTGTACATACAAAATTTAAACTATGTTTGTTTATTTAAATTATATTTTACCATGTAAATTTTTTACTATAAAAATAAATATAAAATATATCATACTTATACCGTCCTCCAAAACATAAGTTACCAAGTACAGACTATATTTTTTCATCTTCAATTATTGAATACATTTTTTTTTAATTTTTGAATACTTTTATTTTTTACTTCTTTTCTTACATCTCAAAATTAAGCATTTTTTATGCCATTGTAAATGACTAATACCAAAAAAAAAATTCATTTTAAGACAAAAAACTTTAAGTTATAAAGTTTATGAAATAATAAATGTTGATGTAAACTGTGTTATGTTGATGAAAACTGTGTTATGTTGATGAAAACTGTGTTATTTTGATGTAATCTGTGTTATGTTGATGAAACTGTGTTATGTTAATGTAAACTGTGTTATGTTGATAAATTTATGAAAATTACTCTTATGAAATAATAGTAACTTTATAATTTTATTGTGCAAATCTCAAGTCAATACCATTCTTTATAATAAAAAACCGATTGCAAAAATAAACACTTGATTGTTTTTTTAATAGTGCAAAAATGCTACTAATGACTTGAAAAAAAATCAATGTGTTTATTCATTTTTAAATAGGTATTTGTATTATGTACTAAATTTTTCCATATATGTAATACAAACAAATTAATTCTGTTTGAAGAGTTTATTTTTTTTAAGAAAAAATGCTGCATCCATTATTTAAATTGAATTAATCTAATTTGTTTAATTAGTTATTATGCAGTTAATTTAACTATTAACTAATATTTTAAATGTAATAAAAAAATTTTAAAACAAAATATAACAATAACAATAATTAATAAAATAAACAGTCTATCTAATTAGATTCTTTTTACAAATACCTACTGTGCAAAAAAAAAAGATAAATTAAATATAAGAACATATTTTATTGGAAATAATGAATAATAGCAATTAAAAATTTAATTTACTTATGATTTATTATTATTCTGTTGCATACCCTTAATTTTCAATTATCACTGCACATCTTTTTGGCATGGTATCAACTAATTTTTAGAAAACAAGTTAATTTTGACCTTATCTGACCAAAGAATATTTTGCCATTTTGAAGATGGCTAGCCCACATGTTCCCGAACAAAATCTTTCCTATTTTTAATATTATTTTGTTATAAAAATAGATACTTCTTTGGTAACTTGGCTTTGACATGTTGTTGAGTCTTTTTCTAGCTGTTGAAGTATTAATTTGCAGTCCAAGAGTATTTTTTATTTATTTTGTTGTTGCAAAACGATTTCTTATGGAATAAAGGCCAATATTTTTGTCATCTCTTCTAGACGTTTTCCTTATTTGACCACATATTTGGGATGTATTTTCTTTTTTTAATTGAATTGCATACCATAATAATTAAACAGTCCTTTAAATTTGAAATTTCTTTCTTAAATTTGAACTTTCTTTCTAAACCCTGGTTTTGTAAATTTTTAATTAAATTTCTTTTATCTACTGAACAATATACATCGCGCTCCATTTTCCCTAAAAAATATTTTCTTTTTAATTCAACAAATTTCATAGTAAATGTTAATCTGTTAATAAAATTAATCTTTTATATTTTGCACAACTTAATTTAAAGCTCTCAAGAAAAATCAAATAAATAGGCCCAATAAATACAAAATAAATAAACTTGTTTACACATCAGCAAATAATACAATAGGCATAAGAAAGTGAGGTTAGAAATATTTTTTTTTTTTTTTTTTTTACATCTTCACTTCCAACAAGGCTGCAAGCAACCACTATAAGAGTTGGAAGTTACTGGAAGAGAAAAGACTAAATCTGTAGAGCAAGATAACGATTGACTGATGACTTAAAAGATTGCAAATTATATGAATCAGGAAAGCAAGATGAAGGAAGCGAATTCCAAAGAACTGATGTTCGAGGAAAAAAACTAGAAGAATAAGAGTTTTTGAAGCACTTAGGAACAGTCACAGAAAAAGGATGAGACTTAATTGAATGGCGAGTAACACGAGAATGAATTTTAGTAGATGGCACAAGGGACGCTAGCTCTTTAGAGCAGTGCCCATTATAGTATTTGTAGAAAAGAGAAAGAGAAGCATCATTACGACGATGTGACAAAGGTTGGAGATTGGCTGCCAGAGCAGGTCCAACTATGTTTACAATTCGTTTTTGCACCTTGTCTAAAAGAGAAAAAACATCATTAGAAGATCCGCCCCAGATGTGGCAACAGTATTCCATACAGGGACGGATTTGAGATTTATAGAGATAGAGAATAGAATCTGGAGTAAGAAAGTGTCGAGCTCGATAAAGAGATGCAACCTTAGCAGATGCTAATTTTGCAATGGATTTGATATACGGTTTAAAAGAAAGATCAGAAGTAAGAGTTAATCCTAGAAGATGAATGGTAGATGACTCATCTAGTACATTACCATTCATAAATATAGGAAGATCTAAATTATTACGATAACGATTGGCCGAATAAAATTGAGTTTTATTTGAATTAAAGTTCACCAGCCACTGTGAGCCCCATGCTGTAGCAGAAGTGAGATCCTTTTCAAGCTCAGATACCCCCTCCAAGCAATCAGAGAGTGTAGGCTTCTTATCATGACAAGAGTAAATGGTAGTGTCGTCAGCGAATAATGCCACCTTAGATGTGAGAATATCTGGAAGATCGTTAATGTAAATTAAAAAGAGTATAGGGCCAAGGATTGAACCTTGAGGAACCCCTGAAGTTACAGGATGTGAAGAAGAGTGTTGTCCATCGAGGACAACTTTTATACTACGATTGGAAAGAAAGGACTCAATAATCTTAAAGACGTTACCAGCTACACCATAAGAAGAAAGCTTATGGAGAAGACCAGCATGCCAAACTTTATCAAAAGCTTTAGAAATGTCAAGTGCGATAGCCTTAACCTCTCCACCTCTATCTAATGCACGGTAAAACCTATCGGTTATTACTGTTAGCACATCAGCTGTAGAACGAGAAGACCGAAATCCATATTGATGATCAGAAAGTAAGTTATTTGATTCAAGATGAAAGATTAAGTGTTTGTTGATTAAAGATTCAAAAACCTTGCTTATGACAGGAAGAAGACTAATGGGGCGGTAGTTAGATGAATCAGATCGCTCTCCGGAATTTTTGAAAATAGGGATAACAGATGCTGCTTTCCAGCATTATGGAAAACAAGACTCTGATAAGCACTTGTTAAATAGTTTAGAAAGTATGGATGAAAGCTCCGGAGAACACCTCTGCAAGACTACAACAGGAATGTTGTCAGGACCACAAGCTGTTGAAGAGTCTAAGCAGGAAATTACTTTAGATACAGAAGCTGAAGTGATGCGAATGTCAAGCAAGGGATCAACCTGTTTGACGGCTATGTCAGGTAAAACGCAACTAGTGGAATCAAGAGATGATATTGATGAAAAGTTCTTTGCAAACAATTCAGCTTTGTCTTTAGGTGAGGTGACAAAGTCAGAACCATACAAGAGAGAAGGAATAACAGATTTGCCCTTATTATTGATACTGTTAAAGATTCTCCAGAAGTCTCGAGAGCCTAATTTTTGTGATGAGATACGAGATTTAATGACCTGGGAATAGCGAGCTTTGGCGTCAGACAAAACCTTTTTACAATGGTTTCTGGCGATAGTGAACAGATGTCTGTTTTCTGGAGAATTGTTTTGCTGATAGATATGGAAGTAACGGTTTCGATTAGAAATTGCTGCAGCGCAATGTGAGGAAAACCAAGGAGAAGAGTGAGGCTTGACCTGGAATCGTCGAGAGGGAATAAAAGATTCCATGCCAGCCTGAATCCACGAAGTTATGTAAGAAGCACATTTGTCAGCAGGAAGACGAAAGATTTCTACCCAAGGGCCATCACGAAGAAAATCACAGAAAGAGTCCCAGTCAGCTTTAAGGTAGTTGTATGTGGTACGATGATAGGGGGATTCTGATGAAGTAGAAGAATTTGATAATAGTTTTAGAGAGATCAAACCGTGATCAGAAGTACCTAAGGGTGAATGTGGAGAAATTGA